CGGAGATTGTGAGGATGCTGCCGGATAGGACAGGTTCAAATCTGTTCTTCATAGAGTGTCTATGAGATGAAGTTGATTCTATGACAGCTGACAAAAACAACAATGTACTAACACAAATTTTCCTGAAACAGGAATTTTAGAACAAGGTCTTGTGTGGCTAGTTCACAGGGAATCATTGCTAAACCAAAAGTCATGTCTCTTTGTTGGTTCAAATTGGAAAGAGAAGGGCAGTGTGATTTACAGTCTCAGAAACCACTGGAAGATCAGATATGAGTTGGTTCCAACTCAACAGCAATGAGTGAATGAATTAGTGATAAACACACAATTATACTATGCTGTGGAGAAATGAATTTTGAACAAATAGGAGGGGGAAATTTGGAGCCATGCCATGAGAATGTCCCTCTCAATACAAAATAGAAAGCACAGACTACAGCCATGATTATAATGAGCTACAGGACAGAAAAAGTTTTACAGGAACTGTAACTCTGTGTCCTATAGATTAATTCATCTTCTTCTAAACTTAAGACTCAAAAAAAAAAAATAAATAAATAAGTGCTAAAAATTTCGTATTGAGCTGGTATTGAGGTTATAAAGTCTAAATTAACTGCAAAGGCATTTACTAAGTGTTCATGATGTGCTGGAAGCCTTGATGAATTAGGAAAGACACATCCTACCTTAGAGGAGCTCATGGTCAAGTTGCACAGATAGATGTACAAACAAATGACTCTGATAAAAAGCAGACTGTGTCAGGAGCTGTAATTGAGAATCATGATCTCAAGATGTTTCTTATTTTAAATATTCTTCCCCACAGTTCTCAGGAATATTTTCATATTACATGTGCTAATCTTGCTTTCTTTTTCTTTCTTTCTTTCCTTATTTTTTCTTCCCTTACCTTTTTTACTATCTTTTGCTTTTCCTTTTCCTCTCATTCCTTCCCTTCTTTTTCTCTCTTTATTATTTAAGATTATTCAATATAAATACATGCTATTAAGTACATTATAAGTACAATATAACTAAAATGCTATTTCTGTGATATACATATGTATACACACACATGCACATTGTTACATTGTTGTGTGTGTGTGTGTGTGTGTGTGTGTGTGTGTGTGTAGTTGCTGTATACAGTAAATTGTTGTTGTACTCAGTAAATGCCTGTTGGGTTAATTTAGAATTTATAACAATCTGCATTATGCAGATGACACAACCCTGCTTGCTGAAACTGAGGAGGACCTGAAGTGCTTGATGCGGATGGTCAGTCAAGGACTGCAGCCTTCAATATGAATTGAAGCACAACATCAAGAAAACAGAAATTCTTGCCACTGGGCCAATTGGCAGCACCATGATATATAGTGAAGAAATTGACATTGTTAACAGCTTCAGTTTGCTTGGCTCTACACAATCAACACTCTTGGCACCAGCAGTCAGGCAATTAAAAGATGACTTGTATTGGGAAAGTCTGCTGTCAAAGACCTCGCTAAAGTACTGAGAGCAACAATGTCAGTCTGAAGACTAAGGTGTTCCTGGTACAGGCCATGATGTTTGCAATCACTTGTTATGCATCAGAGATCTGGACAATGACTAGGGATGGTAGAAGGAGAATTGATGCCTTTGAGCTGTGATGCTGGAGAAGAGTATTGCATATATCATGGACTACTAGGAGAACAAACAAGTTCATCCTGGAGAGGGTGAAGCCAGATTGCTCCTTGAAGAAAAGGATTCTGAAGCTTCATGTGACATACTTTGGACACATTGCAAGGTGGGATCAGTCCTTGGAAAGGGACATTATGCTTGGGAGGGTGGAGGGACAATGCAGGAGAGGAAGATCCTTGATGAGATGGATTGGCACAGGATAGAGCAGGGTTTAGGGCTGTTGTACATAGAATCTCTAAAAGTCACTGACAACTTGATGGCACATAACAACAACACCCCCTCAATATCACCTACGTTGTTGTTATGTGCCATCAAGTCGTCTATGACTCATAGCCATCAGCTATGAGCAACAGCTATGTACGCTAGCTCTGAATCTTGCTCTATCTTAAGGCAATTTACTATATATATATATATATATATATATATATATATATATATATATATATATATATATATCCCCTTATTATCTTTTAATTTTTCAATTTTTTAAAAAACTAGTTTTTACTAATAAATTTAATTTGTGCCCTGTGTCATAATGGAGATCAAAACAGTATTTCCCACAAAGCACAACTTTGAAAGATAAAGCCTGACAAAATGCTTGATACACATATTTAGATTCCATAAAGATGTTTCTTACTCAAAGTGACTTCATGTAAAGCAGAATGAAAGTCAATCCTGTACCATCCTCACAATCTCTGCTATGTGTAAGCTATTGTTTCAATACAATTGTTTGTTGTTTTTAAGTACTGTTGAGTCTGGACTAACTCACAACTGACCCTCACAAAAACCCTTGGGGATTTACAGAGGCAGTAAATCTCACAGATTTCCCTTCTTTCTCCCTTATAACAGCTGGTGGATTCAAATCACATTCTTTGGGCTGGCAGGGCAATTCCTCACTGCTAAGCCAGCTCTCCCTAAATATTAGTTTTTCTTTCCTCCTTTCTTCTCGTTATTAGATCTTCTATATAGTTCTTTCATTCATCCCGAGGCATTTTCTTTTTAACACTTCAAACAGTTTAACTTTTAAAAAGCAAAGGATCGATGCCTTGAAATTAGTGTCTGTTGAATAATTAGAAACATATTGTCCTTTTTAGATGCTGTGGAGTCAAGTATGATTCATAGTGACCCTACAAACAACAGATCAGAACCCTGTCCTATCCTGGGCGATCCTCATCATTGTGTCAATACATTGGTTGAGGGTCTTCCTTTTTTCTGTGGACCCTCCATCTTTCAAAGCATGATGTTCCTTTCCGGGGAATAGCCCCTCCTAACATGCCCAATGAAGGTGAGATTAAGCTTTGTTATCTTTTCCTCCAAGGAATATTTTGGCTGTACTTTCTCCAAGATATATTTATTAGTTCTTTTGGCAGTCTATGGGATATCCAGCACTCTTTTCTAACACCACAATGCAAAGGCATCAACTCTTCTTCTGTCATTCTTATTCATTATCCATCCACCTCCCAGATACAAAGCAAGTGATTGAAAAGACCATGGCATGAACCAGTTACATCTAAGTCCTCAAACTGGCATCACCCTCCTCAGTAATTTGGAGACAGCCAACTTTCCAATGCAATATGTTTCCTCGTCTCCTGACTTCTGGTATCAAGGGTGTTGATCGTGGATCCAAGTAATATTAAATGTACTATAGACTGCAAAAGAAAAATCAAATATGCCTTGCAAGAAGCACAGCAAGAATGTAATATTCCTTAGAAGCAAGGATAGTGATATTTTTGTCTCACAGATTTTTGGTTTGGTACCACGAGGGGCTAGATTCTATAAAAAGATGCCATACTTAGAAAAGCAGTGAATCATTGAAGAAGATAAAGACTTAATGAAATGGATAGGAAGAATTATTGCAACCATGAGCTCAGTTAGAGCAACAAACACTGTAAATAGCTTTATTAGGAATCAGAATTGACTCAATGGTAACTAACAATATCAACAGTCATTTTTAAACATTGTCTAGCTATTATAAATTTGTAGAAGTGTTGGTATTTTTGGTAATGGGGGTGTTTGTAATGGAGTGAATATTATTTGCTGTTACATTATCATGGTTTTATATTATTGTTGTTGTAGATTGCCTTCGAGTTGAGCACGACCCATAACAACCCGATGAACAAAAGGCTTGAAGCCTCTCTACAACTATCGACATCTATCAAAGTTCATAGGGTTACCGAGGCATGTTATTTAAGAAATGGATGCATGAAAATATTTAAAAACATTGAATTGTTAAGCCTTTCTGTTGTTGTACCCCATCGAGTCAGAATCAACCCATAACTGACCCTACAATGTGTTTTCAGAGGCAGTGAATTGCACAGGAGGACACTGACCATCTTCCTCCTAAAGAGCTGGTGGATTCAAACTGTGTACCCGTGTACCTTTGTATTGGCAGTGTTATTACCTCTCGCTATGAGCTGTACTTGACTCAATGGCACCTAACAACAACAGTTGCCTTTCATATAAGGGGGGGGGGGATCACATTCTGTTCCTTCTGCTTTGTATCCACTTGTTTTCTCTAATCAAGTAAGAATTTATTACATAACCAATTTCCACATATTACCAAACAAAGGAACAGCAATTCTAATTAGGATGAATCGTTTGATAAATTGTATTTGATTCTAGGCATGTGAAGTGAAGCAATCACAGTAGTATTTTGTAGTTGTGCCAAATCACCAAATGTATTCGGAATTTAACTTTTCCATTACATGCATGCTGATCAATCAATACACTGTCACCTCAGAAATATTTAAACATGTCTTACATAGATGTTTTCAGCAATAATGACCAATAATTCTAGGAAAAAGAGAATAGGACACATCACTTTGGCTATGACTTCTTAACTTAAAGACATTAAAGGGCTTTAATTAGCTCAAAGGAACTTTGGTAGAGTAGTCCATAAGGAGCTGTGCTCCTTCTGTGAGATTTTCAGTCTCTTGAAAACCCACTGAAGGGTTTTGAGCCAGTTTTAACTAAGTCAGGTTTAGCTCAACAGCAGTGGGTGAGAGAATTAATTGAAGTTAACAGTACCTTCTAAAGTGATTACAGAATATTATAAATGTCAGTTTATCCTACATAACATGATAGGATCTCTATAAGATGCAGCTGACTCAGTGGCATACAACAATAACATTGATAATTTTAAGATTAAAAAAATAGCAAAATAAAGAAGAGCAATCTTCTGAGAAGCCTCCAAGGGCCTACTATTTGCTTAGACTAGTCAGATATTTGACTTCTGTCTTCATTTCACTTTACATATGTCAACACAAATCTTGACCTGACTGACTCCTTTGCTCATTTGTTGAGGAATACATTCCAAGGCAAATGACCATTTAACTTCTTTTCCCTTTTAGGAACTTCTGGGACATTCTTGGATGAAATATACTGCTGTTCTTTTCACTCATGCAGAGAAAATAGAAGAAGCTGGGCTCACCGAAGAAGAATACATTGAGGAGGCCTCTGATACACTGTTAACCTTACTAAATTCTGTTCATTGCCGATACATTTTCCAGTATAAAAATCAAAACTCACTTAAAGAACAAAGAATACCAATCTTGGAAAAAATCTTGGCAATTATAAAAGAAAATTGTTTCCAAGTTCTTACCTTTAAATAAAATTTAGGTGAGCAGAAAAAAAAAAAAGCACTGAGTTTTTCAGTTAGAAACCTAGTTTCAAAAAAAAAACCAACTCTGTTGGCACAGATGTGTGCAATCTATCAGAAATGTATACATTTGGTATACTGAAAGAAATACACAAAAAATATAGAGGGCACGACAAATAGCTCAGATCTATGCCCACGACAGTTCTTGTTGTAGCTGTTAGATGCCACAGAGTCAGGTATGTCTTTTTTTCTTCTTCTGTTTTCTTGTTGGATACCATCGGATCGGATCAAACTGGCACAGGAGGAGATTGCCCCTCCATCTCCAATGGAGCATCTGGTGGTGGATTTGAATCACGTGCCTTCAGAATTGCAGCACAGCTTCTTGCCACTAGGCCACCAGGGCTCCCAAGGATATGTCTTTTTATTCATATTACACACTATACCATCTTGGTTTTGTCTTTTGTGATTTTCTTCAACTTAATACCTCTCCATAGAAACTCTCCCCAATGCTAAAAATGAAACAAAACAAACAACCAACCCATCAGATTTACCCTTTTAAAGGTTGCTTGCCTGTGTAGGTTGCATATGTATTGATTTATGTAATTACGCCTCCTGGTGCAGTCCCTAGGGAGTTGCACTGCTAAACCAAAGGCCAAGCTTCTCTGGCGGTTCAAATCCACTGGTCATTCCTAAGGAGAGAGAGTCATTCTTCTCTCATGAACTTTACAGCTTGGTAAATCCAAGTGAGGATCTGCAATAAGGTGGTTCCAACTAGACAGAAGTGAGTTTACTCTTTTATAGATAGACATTCCAATTTTCGGAAACCCAACGTCCCAACAATATTCTTTGCATATATTTTTATATTAATATTGACTTTCTCCCTTTAATTTACATTTTCAAGTGTGGGCTTCTAATTATTTGCCCTTTACCTTAGTTCAATGCTAACTTTATCCAAACTTAATTTTTGAACTTGTGAACTTTTTTACAAACATACATTTCTATTTTCACAGCACAAGATAGAGTTCAAAATTTAATTTCTTTTAAATCGGTAACTATATATACGGTCTAGGGACTGGAATAGAATGGTATTTAATTATATAAATCAAATTGATTTAATTACATAAATCAATAATGGATTAATTTTAAATATTTTATTTATTACTGTTATAATGATGAGAATATTATTGTTTATTTAAAAAGCATACTTCTCTGAGAAAAATATATACTTGGAGCTCTTTTTTTTCTAAAAACTCCCTAAATACCTGAAGTTTTCAATATATGTGCTCTTTTAACTTTTCAATATGTGTGTTGTTTTCAGAGACAATGTCTTCCTTTCATATAAAAATGAAGGTCATGGAAAAGTGTTATTTCCACCAAAATTATTTCTTTTGTTTAAGTGATATTGAGGATGATTTCAATTTGCATTTTTCATTAATCTTTTCAAAGAGAAACTCAGTTGTGGTGTTGATTTTGGATGCCTTCTACACAGCTCTGTCCAAATTCCCCAGGTGTGAAAACTAAAGTGGGTTTTAAATTAACAAGTATCAGCCAAATACGTAATCTTAGGGCTGAAAAGTTAAGTAGATGTGTGTGTGTGTGTGTGTGTGTGTGTGTGTGTGTGTGTTTGAGAGAGGAGTTTCTACTGAGATGTATGATATTCTAATGAGAAAATTAACAAAAACATATGCAAAACTTTGGTAATATATACTTGACATGAAATCCTTGTTAGAGCACAACACAAATAACACAGAGGAAATGACTAGATGATAAATATTGCTATTTTAACAGATCTGTAGGCATTATGTGTTATGGAAAGGCATAAAGAATCACTACACTCTCCATCAAAAAAAGGATCATTACAATTACCAAGCCTGAGGCTTGTTTCTACTGCTGTTGCTAAGGACAATAGACTGCCAGATAGGAAATCACGTTAAGGCATACAATAACACATTTTTAAAAACTAGAATATCTAGAGAACTGGGAATAGTGTATGTTATAAGGTGAGTGGGAGTTAGGAAGAAAAAGAAAAAAATAAACCAACCAAGAGAATGAAAAAAAGTGAAAAAGTACAATATGTAATAATTAATTCACACTCTGAAATTCCAGATGGCCCGTTTTCAAACCAATTATTTCATTGTTCTGAGCCCTTTGTCCAAATATTTTTTTGGAGTTATTCTCTTAGGAACTATCCCTGCCAAGATTTATCCAAATGAAAAATAAAAAGTGCAATAAGCAAGAATTTAAGTCACTAAATCATTCCTATTATAACAAGTTGGTATCTTAAGAAGATGAAGTTTTGTTCACAGGTTTATTAGCCACTGGTAATTAATCTACTTTTTTTGTTAATATTTCAATATTTGGGTTATTATACAAGTAGTACTAAAATAAACTATTTTTGCAAGTGTTGTCTGTATTAATTATCTCTGTATCTATTCATCTGTCCACTGATCACACCTAATCTAGACTTCAGTAGCATTTGCCTTTTGTTGACTTTTGGGATAGTTTGTCCTCAACAACAATGTTCTACACAAAGAAACAAGGCAGCATGGTTCTTTTCAAAGGTAACTGCTGCCAATGGCAGCAGCCTGGTTTTGCCGATAAATATTTTCCTGGCAGTTCTTGTTGAACTGTCCCAACAAAAAGAAAAAAAATGATAAATTTTCTTTGTAATTACTCCAAAAGAGCAGTTGATGATCTCATCTCTCCCTTCAGAGTCTCTTAAATTCTCCACAGAAAGAGCTAATCTCCTTAGATAAACTACTAGTACTCATTTTGTCACTATCTTGCCCTATATTTTAAATAAAAGTTGAAGTTTAAACTACAATAAAAGAAGCTGCATGACTCTTATCTTAAGAAATATACTGCAGTGATAAAGAGCACAGGATTCATAAGAATAAAAAAAATCTAAGTTTCAGCTAGTTATATATTAACATATGCATTTATGAAAATTTTCTGTGGATTCTTTGGGGTAAAATTACTAATCACTCTCAAATCCACAATCAACATCAATGGTAGCGGTAGTCAAGGAATCAAAAGACACATGTGGCATTGGGCATTATCTTTATTGTTACAATATCTTTAAAGAGATAAAGAGCAAGCATGTCCCTTTAAATATCAAAGTGAGTTTGGCCCAACCCATGGTATATTCATTTTCTTCATATGTATGTGGAAGTAGGACAATTAGTAACGAAGAATGAAAAAACAACCATGCTTTTGAATTTTGGTACTGATGAAAGTCTGAATACACCATGAACTGCTAGAAGAACAAATCTGTCTTCGAGGAAATGCAAGCAGGGTGAACCTGAGAGGCAAGCAAGTATGACAAGACTTTGTGTCATATACTTTGAGTGTATTGTCAAGAAGTATCAGTTCTCAAAAGAAGACATCATGCTGTGAAGAGCTGAGAGTCAGTGGAAGAGTAGACTACTGTCAAGGACATGGATTGACATGCTGACTACAACAGTGGGCTTGAGCATAACACAGGAGACAGCAAGGTTTCCATCTGTTGGCATAGTGTTACTATGAATTGTACCCAGTCTAAAAGTGCCTAACAACCAAACCAAAAACAACATCTCACAGGTATGTCCTGGAGCTATTCAATCTGTATGCTGAGCCAATAACTTATGTGAAGAAGAGTGTGGATGCAGAATTAGAGGAAGACTCATTAATAACCTGCAAAATTCAAATGACATAACCTTGCTTGCTAAAGGATGGGTGACTGAAGTTTGAATTCAGTTAGGATTACAGTTGAATTCAGTGGCACCCAGCAGCAAAGCAGCCTTTCATAGTTGCTAAGAAATGGATTAGATATGTGTGAAAGAATTATGTAATCTATGTTGTTGTTGTTGTTCTTATTTGCTGTTGACCCTATGTACAGAGGCTCTGAACCCTTCCATGTCCTGGGCCAGTCTCACTAATTCTGACACACCAACCCCCATTTCCACAGTTACTGTATCAATCAATCTCATACAGGGTCTCCCTATCCTGAACTGTCCATCCACCCTTCCAAGCATGATGTCCTTCTCCAAGGACCAGTCTCTCCTGGCCACATGCCCAAAGCATGTGGATGGAGCTTCAAAATCCTAACCTCAAACGAGAAACTTGGTTTCATTCTCTATAAAACTCTCCAAATAAAGAATAAACTCATTATCAAAAAGTCAGTTCTGACTAATAACAACACTACAAGACGAAGTGGAACGGATTTATAGGATTTGTTGTTTTTATGTGCCATCTCATCCATAGGGTTTGCAAGGATGTAAATCTTTATCAAACCAGATTGTTCCACCTTACTCCTCAAAGCATCTACTGAGTTCTAAGCAAGCAAGATCTTAAGCACTCTGCAAAATGGTTCCTTTTATCATCTAGAAATATTAGAAATGTAACTATTTATTTAAAAAATATTTTATAATTATTTACTTACAAAGCTCGTATACGTTGTTTTTTACACTGGATCTTTCCCCTTTCCTTTACACACCCCTCCCTCCACCCATCAAATTTTGCAATTTCATAATAGATACACACTACAAACTTTTCTCAACCATGCACACAGATTTAATGAAGAAGGACGTAGATTCTTTTTTTTTCTTTTCTTTTGTGAGTGTACTGTCAAATCAGATCTGATTGGTACAGAAGGAGATTGTCCCTCCTTTCCTGGATGTAGATTCTTAAGTAAAACTTTGGATGGCACATACTGCTCCACAAGGCAATAATTTTCAATGTCCTTGTCAGTTGACTCGCATTAATTTACCTCCTCTAGTTCTTAGTTTCATTTTGCATGTTGGTTATAAAGGTTTAGTTTTCCACAGTTGCATAGTTCTTAGAACCAAGATTTGGGTCACAATTTTTGTAGCTAAATTATATGGCTAATGTAAAACATTTCTAACTGTATGAACAAGAACCAATGGTAATGAAGGAAGGAGTTCAAGCTGCACTGAAGACATTGGCAAAAAAATAAGATCCCAGGAATCAATGGGATATCAACTGACATGTTTCAAATGACAGATGGGAAGCTGG